CCTAGCAACCATGGCAAACCATGCCCAGCAATCACTATGCATAAAAAAGGTTCCCTGCATACTTTTTACTCTTCATTTTATTATTATGAAAATAGACGTTGGCCTTTCGTGATCAATGATTTGATTAGTGTTTTTTAAAACTTTTTTTTTTGTCATAGCCATAATAAATAGGTCTGGTTGGGCACCCCTGCCATAGGCTGTGTTCAAATTTATAGGATGCTGTCATGCTTTTTTATTTATATTTTCAGAATCTCGAATGTTTTAGCTTTCAAATGCTTTCACACCACACATGTAATTTAAAACTCCTCAGTTATTTGCTTTTCCATTTGGGAAAAGAAGTAGGATAGGAGAAATAATATTCTATGATCAGCCTATAAAAAAGGGGAACAGATTTCAAATAATTAGGGTTATGGCTAGATGGTTCATAAACAGGGAAAATGCATATTAAGCAATTAGACATAAAATGTATGAAAGTAATAAATGTCTCACTGTGTTGTTGCAGCGCCTCAGACTGGAAGAACATGAGGAGAGTGGTGAGAACAGCAGAGAGGATTATTGGGGCTCCTCTTCCCTCCATTAAAAACATTTCATTCATTGCTCTGCTTGTTGCGAGCCCATAACATCCTCACTGATCCCTCACACCCACACCATGGACTGTTCTCTCAGCTCCCCTCTAGGAAGAGACTCTGAAGCATTTGATGCCAGACCAGCAGGTTCGGCAACGGCTTTTCCTCCAGTCCATTAGACTGTTGAACTTTTAAAATCTAAAATCGGGTCTGCATCACATTGTAAACATCATATTTGCACTGCATGGCTAATTTCCAAATCCTTCTAAATAGAACTAAACTCAATGTTTATATTGCATCTTGCACCATATTTTTATGATCACTGCTGCACTTTATAAATGGAAATGTTCCATCTCACTGTTGTAAGATGCCATTCAATGTTGAAAGCTGTATACATCAAGATTTAATTTTGTATAGTCTGTCTAAGTCTAAATATAATGAAAGCTTTGGCTAGGAATGACTGGGGGGGCAAGAAGGAGTAACTACTAAATATTTACAGGGCTCTTTTGAGATCAGCAATAGATTACGAACGTATTTTATATGGTGCAGCAGCAAAATCAACATTACACATAATAACAGATACATTGCAATATAGGACATAACAAGTAGTTACTGGAGCAGCTAAGACAAACCCAATCAATGCTCTGTTAGTAGAGTCTGGAGAGACTCCTTAAAAATTAAACAAGCCAAAAAAAATAACACTTTATTACTGGATCAGAATTAAAACACAGCAGTAAACATAACCCAGCAGGAAGTATAATAAAGAACTGTTGGGAATATTCAAAATTTAAAAGAAATGGCTTTGGCTGGACAGGAAATGAATGGGAAAAATATATGAGTTAGATGAAAAGACATTCTCTAAAAATAACCCAATTGGTTCGGTTTCACGATGGTTTTTTCCAGAAACAAATGTCGACTTAGAAATACATGCACTCATTAGAGAGTAGAAATATAACGAAGTTGGGGTTAAAACTAACTTATATATTAGACAATTGTATTATAGTTTTTTTTTAACTGATCACAGATGGTTCAGAAAAGAAAATGCAGTGCATCATGTTTTGATGCACTGTTGCACATTATGGGATGGAAATGTTCTGAGAGCTGTACAAAACGAAATTTCGTGACAATAAAAGTTTTCTAAGTTCTAAATTGTTATAAATATGCAACAGAAACAGAGGAAAGAGAATGAAGTATTGAAGGAATATTAGGGACAGATTTATATATAGAGAAAATTAGGGTAATTAATAAAGATTTGGTTTTTATTTTTCGCAAAAGAAAATAATAAAGTATAGTAGGTGGAACGTGTGAAGCTATGAACTCTTGTACAGTAGGTGGCGGTATGCAGCTGTCAGTTGTTTGCAATTCGCCAATAAAAGGAAAGAAGAAGAAGTCCGTGACGCTAGGGGGCGCTAGCGTTTCTTTTAGGCTCTTACGAGGACTACCCGCGCAGCTCTCTTCAAACAAGGTAGGCCTCAGCTTTATTTTTCATCATATTTCATTTCATAGCTGCATTGCAAATCATATTTACGACGCAGTAACTGCATTGTTTGTATGAAAAAACAGAGTGACACACAGGAAGTTTATATTATCAGTGAAAAAGGTAATTGTTTTGCATCTCTTGGCGGCAAATGAGCTAATGCTAGGCTGAGAAGGTTACCGTACTCAGCTGTATAATGGCGCTTTGCAATGAGGAGTTGCCATATAAACATATATGCGAGAGATTTTACTTGAAGGTACACATTTACTAACAAGCCTTTTGTGAATTCGTGTCCTTGTGTATTTATGGAGGCTGTTTTTGTCGTGCAAATGTGTGTTGTCGGTGCAGCGCTGCTAGCTAGCGTAGCCGCACCGTTACGTATCCCGTTCAGCAGAGAAACCGCGCAGAGCGGATCAGTTTGAAAGTCAGAAGCAGTAGTGTGAAACTTTGGTTAACCGTGGTGTGTCTTTGTTTCTTGCTCTGTTATTCAAGAAAGACTACAAAACCTACAGATAACACACGGACCAACCATGAGTTTAGACGTGAAAAAACTGAAAGTGAATGAGTTGAAGGAGGAGCTCCAGCGCCGCGGCCTTGATACGAAAGGCCTGAAGGCGGATCTGATGGAGAGGCTGAAAGCTGCTCTGGAGGCTGAAGCTGAGGCGGATACCTCAGAGCAAACTGGGCAGGAGGAATATGGCGATGAAACCCAAGAGGAAGAGGATGTTCAAGAACAGCAAGGTAATATGCTGCATTTTAAAGTCAAGGATACTTTACATTAAATGTAACCTCTGTATGTGATGCAGTAATGATAACCTTTTGGTTGTTTATATTAGTCTTATGACTGACATTCTTCAAACTTTATGTATGACACATTGCTTTGGCTCTTAACTGGTACTGGTTCACCTAAAGGCCATCAGTTTGGGTTAATATGTTATGTAAATCAGTATTATAATACACTAAGTTTTTAATTTCATTCATAGAATCACCTGTTTGATCATGCTCTGGAATGAGACTGTAGTTTG